GGATCTGGCTGCTCATGGCTGGCTGACGGGTCTGGCTGCTCATGGCTGGCTGACGGATCTGGCTGCTCATGGCTGGCTGACGGGTCTGGCTGCTCATGGCTGGCTGACGGGTCTGGCTGCTCATGGCTGGCTGACGGATCTGGCTGCTCATGGCTGGCTGACGGATCTGGCTGCTCATGGCTGGCTGACGGGTCTGGCTGCTCATGGCTGGCTGACGGATCTGGCTGCTCATGGCTGGCTGACGGATCTGGCTGCTCATGGCTGGCTGACGGGTCTGGCTGCTCATGGCTGGCTGACGGGTCTGGCTGCTCATGGCTGGTTGACAGATCTGGCTGCTCATGGCTGGCTGATGGTGCTGGCTGGGAGGCTGGCGGTGGAGGCGGACCCCAGCCTCGGATTGCAGTCATCACCTCCAGCAGGGCGGCTCCCATCTGCAGGAGCTGCTCTTTCTGGTTCCGAACCTGAGCTTCCAGTCTGATATGGGCTGCGTCGGCTCCTGCTGATTCCATAGCAGGTGTATGATTCTGTCTGGCGGAAGGCTCTAGCGGCTCCTGTCTGGCGGAAGGCACTAGCGGCTCCGATCTGGCGGACGGCTCTGAAGGCTCATGGCAGACGGGCGGCTTTGCAGGCTCAGTACAGACGGGCGGCTTATGCAGCGCTTGACAGACGGGCAGTTCAGACGCCATAGGGCCGACAGGCAGTTCAGGCGCCGTTGGGCAGACGGCCAGTTCAGGCGCCGTTGGGCAGACGGCAGACTCTGGCCGACTGGTGACGCACCCCGTAGGATTCGTGCGTGGAGCAGGAACAGGCCGGGCTGGGCTGGCGACGCGCACCTTATCCCTGGTGCGAGTGGCCGGAACAGGCCGGGCCGGGCTGGCGACGCACATCGTGGACCTGGTGCGTGGAGTAGGAACAGACCGGTCCGTACCGGGAACACCCACCACTGGCCTTAACTGGGGATCAAGAACGGACCGGACCAGACTGGGAACACACTTCAGTCTCTCATGCCGTGCCACAACAACTTCCCTCCCTCTACTCGCCAATGGCTCCCGTAATCCGATAGCCTTCTCTCCAGCTCTACCTGTGGCAGCCTCCTGCTGCCCAGGCGCCCAAGCCATGTGCCCCCCCCAAAAAAATTTTTGGGGAGTAACCACGGGCTTCCAGCCTCGACTCCGCGCTTCCTCTTCATACCACCTCCTCTCGGCTGCAGCTGCCTCCAGCTCTTCACGAGGGCGGTGATATTCCTCCTCATACCACCTCCTCTCGGCTGCAGCTGCCTCCAGCTCTTCACGAGGGCGGTGATATTCCTCCGGTTGTGCCCAAGGACCCTTTCCAGCCCGAATCTCCTCCCATGTCCAAAAATCCTTAGGAGGCGTCCATAACTCCTGTGTAGGTAGGTCCTGTTGCCGCTTGTTACGCTGCTTGGTCCTTTTGTGGTGGGTTATTCTGTCACGATCGTCTGAAGGAGGAGACCAATGCGCAGCGTTGCGAGTGAACATGATGACTTTATTAACTTAAAGCAACCACGAAGAAAACAACAAATGACGATACGTGAAGTTCTAAACTGAAATACAACTAACAGCAACAAAGAAACAATAACCCACAACACAAAGGAGAAAACATACAGAATATATATGGCTCCCAATCAGAGATAACGAGCCGACAGCTGACACTCGTTACCTCCGATTGGGAGTCATCGACCAATCACCACATGACACAAACAAAATGAAACTCACCCATCCCCAACACCACCAAATGAAATACACCCAAACACATGAAAATGAACAACCCTGGCTCAATATAAACGTCCATAGAGCCAGAGTGTCACACTTGGTCTCAGCATAACTCCCTGTCAAAATAAAGGTTAGATAAATCAATAAAATACGAGTTTTAACCAACTGACTCTCTTTCCTTTCATCTCTCCAGACGCATGGCAACCCATGACGATCTAATCCAACAATCTCTTTGTCTATCCATTGGCACGCTCCACATTTACCTTGGCCCATGAGGAGCCACTTCTCCTGTGTCTACCCCATGGACACGGAGACCAGCCTGGACGGGGTCATCAGACTTCATCCGTCTTGAGTGGAGACGCAGCTGCTTAGCCTAAAATACTGCTGAACACTACAAGCATGAATCGGTGTTGCAATGGCCAGGCTTGTATTCATTAGGGCATGCAGCAAAACACAACCCTGTATTCTGTTAATGCTTCAGACTGATATGTATTGGTGTGTTACCTCATCACATTGCTTTATTTAGTCCATCTGATTGTCATACAACGGTCTTGTTACTGTAAAGGAATATTACGTCCTGTTACTGTAAAGGAATATCAAGTCTTGTTACTGTAAAGGAATATCAAGTCTTGTTACTGTAAAGGAATATCAAGTCTTGTTACTGTAAAGGAATATCACGTCTTGTTACTGTAAAGGAATATCACGTCTTGTTACTGTAAAGGAATATCACGTCTTGTTACTGTAAAGGAATATCACGTATTGTTATGACTGCGCTTTGCAGTCGTTCAGCTATGCCACTCACACCCCCAACCCTGGTCCTATGCCTTACTAAGTTATTCAGCACAGGTATGTATGGATGTGCCCGTTTGGTGACTGCTTTTGGTTTTGTGGACTTTTGCATGCCGTTGTTTGTTTTACTGTACGCATGTTTACAATGTGGACCTTCCTGTCTCAACCCTTTTCCCAGGTCCCCTAGTGACCATCGTCAGGTGACAGTGGAGGAGAGCGGGGTCGTCCCTCCAGGCTCGCTTCTCTGCACTGCTGTTCCTGTTCCAGGGGGACTACAGGGACATTCCTCCTGCACTGCAGCCTCAGCCTGTGTGGCCAGAGGAGTTCCTCCTGCACTCCAGCGAGTCCTCCTGAACTCCTCAGTCTCTGTGACTCTCTCCCTGGTCCCTCCTACTCCTCCACAGTCTCTGTGACTCTCTCCCTGGTCCCTCCTACTCCTCCACAGTCTCTGTGACTCTCTCCCTGGTCCCTCCTACTCCTCCACAGTCTCTGTGACTTTCTCCCTGGTCCCTCCTACTCCTCCACAGTCTCTGTGACTCTCTCCCTGGTCTTTCCTACTCCTCCACAGTCTCTGTGACTCTCTCCCTGGTCCCTCCTGAACTCCCCAGTCTCTGACTCTCTCCCTGGTCCCTCCTGAACTCCCCAGTCTCTGACTCTCTCCCTGGTCCCTCCTGAACTCCCCAGTCTCTGACTCTCTCCCTGGTCCCTCCTGAACTCCCCAGTCTCTGACTCTCTGCCTGATCCGTCCTACTCTCTTTGTTGTCTCTCATTCTTCAGTACTAAAGGAAGGACATGGGCTGTATGTATCAAGTGTCCCAGAAGCCCCGTTTATACCTGGTCCTAACATGCGTCCTTTGTCCTGATCTTGTCCACATTGATTGTGGACTACAGGAAAAGAAGAACCGAGCACGCCCCCATTCTCATCGACTGGGCTGTATTGGAGCAGGTTGAGAGCTTCAAGTTCCTTGGTGTCCACATCACAAACAAACTATCATGGTCCAAACACACCAAGACAGTTGTGAAGAGGGCACGACTATTTCCCCTCAGGAGACTGAAAAGATTTGGCATGGGTCCTCAGATCTTCAAAAAGTTCTACAGCTGCACCATCGAGAGCATCCTGACTGGTTGCATCACCGCCTGGTATGGCAACTGCTCGGCCTCCCACCGCAAGGCACTACAGAGGGTAATGTGTACGGTCCAGTACATCACTGGGGCCAAGCTTCCTGCCATCCAGGACCTCTATACCAGACAGTGTCAGAGGAAGGCCCTAAAAATTGTCAAAGACTCCAGCCACCCTAGTCATAGACTGTTCTCTCTGCTACCGCACGGCAAGCGGTACCGGCGCGCCAAGTCTAGGTCCAAAAGGCTTCTTAACAGCTTCTACCCCCAAGCCATAAGAGTCCTGAACAGCTAATCAAATGGCTACCCGGACTATTTGCATTGATTTATCATACTCCTGAACGTAGATTTAAGATGAATCGTAGGATTTATCATACTCCTGAACGTAGATTTAATCTGAGTGACACTGATTTATATAACTTTTGTTCATGTTCTGAAGTAGGTAACTTCATGCACATATTTTGGAACTGCGCAAATGTAAAACCTCTCCGGGAATATGTTGCTGGCTCTGACCTCAATTCTTGGAATTGACGGTCACCTTTTTAAAGTTCACGTTTACATTTCAGTAGCCTAGTAGTACATGGATTGTGGGACCTACGCCTGTAAACCACTAGATGGCAGCAAATGTGTACTTTTCATGGACAGTACCAGTAATTCCGAGAGGCTGGAGAGGAATGACTTCTATTGAAATACATGGCCATGTCAAATAATAAACTCCCAATCACACTGGATTATTGAAATACCAATACCCATCCTACCCACACACTAATAAAGCATTTTTACATAGCCTAGGCCTATGTGTAAGCAAGTCTAAGATATATATATATATTTTTTAAAGTCCGCAGACTTTGTATAACAAAGCATGAATTTCCATACAGCATAATCAATGCAGCACACAATCATTATGCAATTAATTGTATTTACATTTTAGCCATTTACCAGACGCTATTATCCAGAGCGACTTACAGTTAGTGAGGTGCATACATTATTTTATTTTTTTGTCATACTACGTATTGTTGTTTGATTGAGTCATGTTTTATCATTTGGTTTAACATACAGTCTAATTGAGGAGGTGCTTGAGTGAAATACAGTTTGATTGGATTGCCTCCTGTTATCTGTGTCTGCTCTGTATGTGTGATGCTTGATTCTTTCAACACCTTGTACGGTCACCGTGCATGCATAGCGGGACCCTGTGATTCAGTCAGCCAATTGGAAGTGGGATCACTTGATTGCGGACTCTTGAGATATGTGCGCGTGCGGCAACAAGAGGTCATTTGGAACGCGCGTGGAGGAGAAACACACGTAGCGCACGCTTGTTGGGATCCGCGCGCTCTTTCCTATCCATGACAAGAGGCCGCCATGACCATCAAGAAAAGTAAAACCGTCCTTTTTGAAAGACGTGCGGGGGATTTAACTGCGTTGTATTGTATGAATGATTGGATGATCACAGTGGTGGTGGCTATTATTGCCATGATGTCTGTATGGACTGCACTCATCATATACAGATATATACAGACAGCGAGAGGTAAAAGAAGAAAGTTTGATGACACTATTCTGGAAACTGAAAAGGACGAAAATGAGACGGCAAACGAAGAAAACAGACTATCCTGTGTCGAGTCAACAGGTAAATCAACATTTATTCCTGTTCATTCTTCACTGGTCGGGCCTGAGATTTCAATGAGGTCGAATGTGACCCATATGCAGCAGAATTGCTGTCTGCGCTTGTGTTTTTCCGCTATATGAGACGCGCCATGAGAACAGCATCGGTAGCCTACTATCATGTCTACAAACACGTGTGTGCGCGCGCTCGCGCAGGAGATTGAAAATAGAAATGGTTATATCAATGAAGCCCTTTGGTGAAGTGAAAAACAAATGATCAGTTGTCTGTAACAAAATTCCCTAGTTAAATTGTCTATATAATGCTTTATATATATTACAGTAGCTATTAGATATGTTTGCTGGGTTGGGTAGGTTACTTTCTACTTAGCTGTCAGAAATTGTAATCAGTAAAGTAACTTTTGGCTTACCCAAACTCAGTAAAGTAATCTGATTACTTTCTGTTACTTTTGCATTGCTTTCCCCTTAAGAGTCAGACAAAAATAATCCAGCAAACGGATTTGATGTGTCATCATAGTGGTCTCTGATTTGTGGTCAGACCTGCTCAGGTGGAACAAATGTAAACTTGCTGAATTGAATGTCGTTGAGAAAACAGAAAGGTGTCAGTATGTACAGTGGGGAGAACAAGTATTTGATACACTGCCGATTTTGCAGGTTTTCCTACTTACAAAGCATGTAGAGGTCTGTAATTTCTATCATAGGTACACTTCAACTGTGAGAGACAGAATCTAAAACAAAAATCCAGAAAATCACATTGTATGATTTTTAAGTAATTAATTTGCATTTTAGTGCATGACATAAGTATTTGATCACCTACCAACCAGTAAGAATTCCGGCTCTCACAGACCTGTTAGTTTTTCTTTAAGAAGCCCTCCGGTTCTCCACTCATTACCTGTATTAACTGCACCTGTTTGAACTCGTTACCTGTATAAAAGACACCTGTCCACACACTCAATCAAACAGACTCCAACCTCTCCACAATGGCCAAGACCAGAGAGCTGTGTAAGGACATCAGGGGATACAATTGTAGACCTGCACAAGGCTGGGATGGGCTACAGGACAATAGGCAAGCAGCTTGGTGAGAAGGCAACAACTGTTGGCGCAATTATTAGAAAATGGAAGAAGTTCAAGATGACGGTCAATCACCCTCGTTCTGGGGCTCCATGCAAGATCTCACCTCGTGGGGCATCAATGATCATGAGGAAGGTGAGGGATCAGCCCAGAACTACACGGCAGGACCTGGTCAATGACCTGAAGAGAGCTGGGACCACAGTCTCAAAGAAAACCATTAGTAACACACTACACCGTCATGGATTAAAATCCTGCAGCGCACGCAAGGTCCCCCTGCTCAAGCCAGCGCATGTCCAGGCCCGTCTGAAGTTTGCCAATGACCACCTGGATGATCCAGAGGAGGAATGGGAGAAGGTCATGTGGTCTGATGAGACAAAAATAGAGCTTTTCGGTCTAAACTCCACTCGCCGTGTTTGGAGGAAGAAGAAGGATGAGTACAACCCCAAGAACACCATCCCAACCGTGAAGCATGGAGGTGGAAACATCATTCTTTGGGGATGCTTTTCTGCAAAGGGGACAGGACGACTGCACCGTATCTTCACTGGTTGCCCTTTTCTTTCTGCTGTGATGGCACACTGTGGTATTTCACCCAGTAGATAAGGGCGTTTATCAAAATTGGGTTTGTTTTCTAATTCTTTGTGGATCTCTGTAATCTGAGGGAAAATGTGTCTCTAATATGGTCATACATTTGGCAGGAGGTTAGGAAGTGCAGCTCAGTTTCCACCTCATTTTGTGGGCAGTGTACACATAGCCTGTCTTCTCTTGAGAGCCAGGTCTGCCTAAGGCCGCTTTTCTCAATAGCAAGGCTATGCTCACTGAGTCTGTACATAGTCAAAGCTTTCCTTAAGTTTGGGTCAGTCACAGTGGTCAGGTATTCTGCCACTGTGTACTCTCTGTTTAGGGCCAAATAGCATTCTAGTTTGTCCGTTTTTTTTTTGTTAATTCTTTCCAATGTGTCAAGTAATTCTCTTTTTGTTTTCTCATGATTTGGTTGGGTCTAATTGTGTTGTTGTCCTGGGGCTCTGTGGGGTCTGTTTGTGTTTGTGAACAGAGCCCCAGGACCAGCTTGCTTAGGGGACTCTTCTCCAAGTTAATATCTCTGTAGGTGATGGCTTTGTTACGGAAGTTTTGGGAATCGCTTCCTTTGAAGTGGTTATAGAATTTAACGGCTCTTTTCTGGATTTTGATAATTAGCGGGTATCGGCCTAATTCTGCTCTGCATGCATTATTTGGTGCTCAATTTGGTGTTTGTCCCATTTTGTGAATTCTTGGTTGGTGAGCGGACCCCAGACCTCACAACCATAAAGGGCAATGGGTTCTATAACTGATTCAAGTATTTTCAGCCAGATCCTAATTGGTATGTCGAATTTTATGTTCCTTTTGATGGCATAGAAGGCCCTTCTTGACTTCACAGCTTTGTGGAAGTTACCTGTGGCGCTGATGTTTAGGCCGAGGTATGTATAGTTTTTTGTGTGCTCTAGGGCAACGGTGTCTAGATGGAATTTGTATTTGTGGTCCTGGCAACTGGACCTTTTTAAGAACACCATTATTTTTGTTCTTACTGAGATTTACTGTCACACTCTCTCTCTCTCCCCCTCCTCTTCTCGTCATCTCCTCTCAAAAACAATTAGTGTGGTCATTTATGGTCCCTCTCTCTCTCTCCTCTCTCCCCTCCTCCCCCTCTACTCTCTCACCCTCTCAAGCTCTCTCTCTCCCCCCCCCACCCTCTCTCTCTCCCCCCCCCCCCCCCCTCTCTCTCTCTCAAAACAACAATCATTGTGACATTTATGGTCTGTATACATATATTTTAGATGTTATTTATATATAATGGGGATACAACATGTATATAAACTGTATTTCATAATTATTTGACAACATTTTAGGTTGACAATATTAATATTATTCCATTTCAGATATCACATGCCTTAAACCCTTTAACCCTGAATAAGAAAAAGCAGAAAATGCATCACTTCATGCCTCTGCTGCTGTAGGTCGTTATCAATAAAACGTCACAATATGGTGCAGAGCGTTCGATTTTCCTTCTGGGGGGGACAAGGAGACCTGCAGCTCCGTTAAAACCATTGACAACTGTGTGCCGTTTTCAAGGGATTGTTAAATAAAGGTTATAACTATTGGTCGTAATATCGTCACCTCTTGAAGAGTATAGTCAGAACTACACATTTCAGATTTTTCCATGCAACGCAATTGCTCACATGTAGCTCTATCATCATCAGAGTTATAGGCTACACAACAGCAAGTCAGTAAACATCAATTGATCATGTAATTTCAGATGCGTGACGGTAGCCTCACAATATCTCTCAATGTTGGCCACCATTAATTGGATATTTGAGTGATATAAAATAAAAGTGAACTATACCTGACAAGTATGAGTGGTTTCGGTTAGTTTCCCATTAGCTATTAGCTAGATAACCGATCACGTCAATATGGCTAGTTAACAAGCTAACTTTCAGGGGATAATCTAGATGGCTATACCCAAATATGGTTTAATTTGCTTGCCATCTATAGTGGTGATGACGGTAGTTTGACTGACAACTTTACCAGGATGAGGACTTGCCGATGTCAAGCTCTTTCCAAAAGCCTGATCTCTGATGAAGCAAGCTAAATGACATGTTGTTTGCTTAGCTAGCTAGCTAACTAGCTAGCTACATGCCAAATGGATATGCTACCCTCACGTATCTGAAATTACATGATCAATTGATGTTTACTGATCATGAAAAGCATGCAGTTACTTGCTGTATAACTCTGATGATAGAGCTAAATGTGGAATAATCAGAAATGTGTAGGTCAGACTATACTCTTAAAACCAAATAGTTATAACATTTATTTAACAATCCCTTGAAAACGGCACGTAGTTGTCTATGGTTTTAGCGGAGCTGGGGGTCTCCTTGCACCTCAGCAGCCAAATTGAAAGCTCTGCATCGTGTTGTGACGTTTTATTGATAACGACCTATTCATTCGAATTAGACTGGTTTGGATTCCTCCTTGGAACTTCGAGGGTTTATGACATAGAGCTCCTATTAAATTACTAGATGGACTATGTTTGTTATCATCACCCATTAATTAAGCCAATGTGCTTCTTTTCCAGAGGAGAGTGAAGAAGTTCTGCCAGAGACACTGGAGAGCTGGGATGGAGAGGGATGGAGGAGAGAGCCAATGGAATGGATTCCAACAACCAATGAGGATGTAGAACCTATTGAGGGGATCCCAACAACAACCAATGAGGATGTAGAACCCATTGAGGGGATCTCAGCAATAACCAATGAGGATGTAGAACCCATTGAGGGGATCCCAACAACCAATGAGGATGTAGAACCCATTGAGGAGATCCCAACAACAACCAATGAGGATGTAGAACCTATTGAGGGGATCCCAACAACAACCAATGGATTAAACCATTGAGGGATCCGACATAACCAATGAGGATGTAGAACCCATTGAGGGGATCCGACAAAACCAATGAGGATCTAGAACCCATTGAGGGGTCCCAACAACAACCAATGAGGATGTAGAACCCATTGAGGGGATCTCAGCAATAACCAATGAGGATGTAGAACCCATTGAGGGGATCCCGACAATAACCATTGATGATATAGAACCCATTACACGGATCCGAACAACAACCAATGAAGATTTAGAACCCATTAAACGGATCCGAGCACAGACCAATGAGGATCTACAATCCATTAGACGGATCCGAACACTAACCAATGAGGATCTACAACCGATTAGACGGCTCCGAACAACAACCAATGAAGATCTAGAACCCATTAGACGCATCCGAACACTAACCAATGAGGATCTAGAACCCATTAGACGGATCCGAACAGCAACCAATGAGGATCTAGAACCCATTAGACGGATCCGAACAGCAACCAATGAGGATCTAGAACCCATTAGACGGATCCGAACAGCAACCAATGAGGATCTAGAACCCATTAGACGGACCCGAACAGCAACCAATGAGGATCTAGAACCCATTAGACGGGTCCGAACAACAACCAATGAGAGCGATGGTCCTTACACGTGGGAGTCATATGCTGAGTGGCAGATCGTTGAAGAGTTTCACCTCGGCTCTCAACCTGAAGAGCACTGTGAAGGCGTATGTCAGCACTATGACGGCTTATGTCAGGTCTGTGAAGGCTTGTGTCATTGCAGTGAATGCTTATGTCAGTTCTACGAAGGCTTATGTCAGGACGCCGAGTCCCATTCTGACCATACCCTGGATCAGGTGGAACAGGCTACTACCAGTCACCGTTCCCTCAGCGACATAAACGATACATCTGGACATAACAAGGGTACAGGAGTGTATAACCAGGACGAGGAGGGTTTGAAGGAAGTTGAACTGAGTGATGATTGTCAATGTGAGAGCACAGAGGAGGAGTCTGAGGTAAACCATCTACATGCCTCTGCCGTCAAGCCTCAGGGAGATCTGGAAGATCTCAATGAGAATCTCCCTGACGTGAAATTGACTGACTCCGACCTTCAAGAACCTGACCATGTGTGTTACACAGAGATACAGGAAGTACAATACCCAGATGATATGACCAGCCGTGTTGCCACTGAGATGATATTGACCGACACTGACTTTACAGAACCTCTGCCTGACCATGTGTGTTATACAGAGATACAGGAAGTAGAATACCCAGATGATGACATGACCAGCCGTGTTGTCTTTTCCAACGAGCCTCAGGAAGAGAGGCCGGAGATGACGTTGACTGACACTGAACGTGTGTCGCATGTGGAGATGGAGAAAGGAGAATATCCGGATGATGATGGACACAGCCATGTTGCTTTTGCCAACGTCCAGGAAAGTGAAAATCTCCCTGAGATGAGATTGAGTGACACTGACCGGATAGAACCTGAACATGTGTATGAGGTGGAAAGCGAGGAAGTAGGAGTAGAATATCCAGATGAGGTAATCACTGAACGTGCAGAACATCCCAGTGAAAATATCACTGAGATATTGAGTAACACTGACCTTAAAGAACCTCTGGATGACCAACATGAGTGTGATACAGAGATACAGGAACAGGAAGTAGAATGCCCAAGTGATTATATGGACAGCCGGGGTGCCTTTGTCAGCGACACTCAGGAACCAGAACATCCCAATGAAAATGTACCTGAGATGATACTGACTGACACTAAGACTAAAGAACGTGACCTTGTGTGTGATACAGAGATACAGGAAGTAGGATGGACAGACGTTGAGGCAAACAGTCACGTTACCTTTGACAATGAACCTCAGGATGAAAATCTCCCTGAGGTGGCTTTGAGTGACACTGACCATGTGTGTGATACAGAGATACAGGAAGTAGAATGGACAGGTGCTGACGTAACCAGCCATGTGCCGTCAGTCACTGAGAGGACAGTAGAAGACGATATGAAAGACGCTATGGTAGAGGATCTTGAGGTGGAAGCTATGGTTAAGGACCTTTGGAGGAAGGACTGTCTACTTCATGGCTATGTCATTGATGGGTTGAGCCAGCCAACAGAGGTTAGAGAGACACGTGTGGAGGAGGAGAGGAAAGGAGAGATCGTTGACATTAAGAGCAAGCACACACACATAGAGGAGAGTTATGAGAAAGTTGAAATAAACATCATGGAAGCCACGATGGACTACAATGAATGGATGACAGTCAGCGGCACAGACACAGAGGGCAACAGTGACTCACCATGGGTGAGGATAAGCCACTCGTCCATCGACTGCTCTGCTGAGGCGGAGCATCATCCCACAGAAACACATCACAATTCAGATGATCCAACAGTGGCTGATGCAACCACATCCAAGGAGGTCAAAGAAACAGGAACCACACCTGTATCACTAGACGGAGACCTACATAGGAAGAAGAAGATGGCAGCTCTGCTTCCCATCAAATCCAAGACTGTACGGGTGAGGTTCTGTGTCCACTACCGCACCCAGTCTCCCTGGCAGGAGCTGGCTGTGACTGGAAACCTGCCGGAGCTGGGGAGCTGGACGGGCTTCGTTCCGCTGGAGAGGGCCCAGGACGGGTTCTGGGCCAGCTGGGTCGCCCTCCCCGCGGAGAGGCAGGTGGAATGGAAGTTCGTGCTGGTGGAGGACGGAGAGATCCTACACTGGGAGGAAAATGGTAATAGACTCCTGGAGACAGGTCGGGGTGGTGGAGAGGTGTATCTCAACAAGTCGTGGGGCAGCCTCTGAGTGACAAGTTCCCACTGGGCACAAACTGGTTGAAACAACGCTGTTTCCACATAAAAAATAATAATATATATATCAATGTGATGACGTTGAATCAATGTGGAAAACTGATTTGATTTGCAAAAACGTAAACTAATTTGGTGATTATATATATATATATATATATATATATATTACTGTTAAAACAGTTCAAATTCTTGGGGATTTCAAAACTAGACGTTGAAATGACATCTGTGCACAGTGGATTACCCATTTTACATTTGGACATTTTACTGGCGATAGGGATCCTACATAGAGACATATATAGAGAGGGGACTGACTGGGGATCCTACATAGAGACATATATAGAGAGGGGACTGACTGGGGGTCCTACATAGAGACATATATAGAGAGGGGACTGACTGGGGGTCCTACATAGAGACATATATAGAGAGGGGACTGACTGGGGATCCTACATAGAGACATATATAGAGAGGGGACTGACTGGGGGTCCTATATAGAGACATATATAGAGAGGGGACTGACTGGGGGTCCTACATAGAGACATATATAGAGAGGGGACTGACTGGGGATCCTACATAGAGACATATATAGAGAGGGGACTGACTGGGGATCCTACATAGAGACATATATAGAGAGGGGACTGACTGGGGATCCTACATAGAGACATATATAGAGAGGGGACTGACTGGGGATCCTACATAGAGACATATATAGAGAGGGGACTGACTGGGGATCCTACATAGAGACATATATAGAGAGGGGACTGACTGGGGATCCTACATAGAGACATATATAGAGAGGGGACTGACTGGGGGTCCTACATAGAGACATATATAGAGAGGGGACTGACTGGGGGTCCTACATAGAGACATATATAGAGAGGGGACTGACTGGGGGTCCTACATAGAGACATATATAGAGAGGGGACTGACTGGGGGTCCTACATAGAGACATATATAGAGAGGGGACTGACTGGGGGTCCTACATAGAGACATATATAGAGAGGGGACTGACTGGGGGTCCTACATAGAGACATATATAGAGAGGGGGACTGACTGGGGGTCCTACATAGAGACATATATAGAGAGGGGACTGACTGGGGGTCCTACATAGAGACATATATAGAGAGGGGACTGACTGGGGGTCCTACATAGAGACATATATAGAGAGGGGACTGACTGGGGGTCCTACATAGAGACATATATAGAGAGGGGACTGACTGGGGGTCCTACATAGAGACATATATAGAGAGGGGACTGACTGGGGGTCCTACATAGAGACATATATAGAGAGGGGACTGACTGGGGGTCCTACATAGAGACATATATAGAGAGGGGACTGACTGGGGGTCCTACATAGAGACATATATAGAGAGGGGACTGACTGGGGGTCCTACATAGAGACATATATAGAGAGGGGACTGGCTGGGGGTTCCTACATAGAGACATATATAGAGAGGGGACTGACTGGGGGTCCTACATAGAGACATATATAGAGAGGGGACTGACTGGGGGTCCTACATAGAGAACTCGATGCGTTCCAATTCTCTGTCCTTTCTCCTAAAGAGTTCTCTACCCTACATGAATTTCAAAGGAAAGGACTGGTGTAAGAAATGTCATGGAAACTCTAGCACAGGCTTATACCAATCCAATGCCTTTAAAAAGCACAAGTGTACACTTGAAGAGAAAGGACAGAGGATAGGATCGCAACAATGTCTCTTCTCAGGGGTCTTCCTATATACTGTATTATAGCAAGACAACTATTATGCAACTATGATATTGTCAATGTATGATAACAATATGGCAATGAAGAATCCACATTATTGACTTTTGTTCAGTGGAGCACCTCTGTGTACTGCTTTGGATTACTATACCAGCAGTATTTGTGCTGTGGCATTATAGCAATAACAATCACAGGTAGAATGATGTACTGTTATGTATCAACCAGTTTATGTGATGCTTAAATTTAAATATACATAGAGTACATTTTTTTGGTTCTCTTTCATATCTGTACAAGCAGGACATCTAGATGTTAGTTTGTTGAATTATATTGTTATGGTAAAAAAAAAAAAAAAGTATCATCCACACTAGGGTCCCTGGAGCCTTTGAGACGTTTATCAACAGAGTTTGTTCATCGTAAATGTTGTTGGTCTTTTGTTTTCGTTTGTTTTGACCTGTCATTGTTTTCTATTTGTTTACATTTGATTTTGATCACAATTAAGTGTGTTTTTGGTTCTCACTGAGTTTTAACTGTTTTGTAAAAAAAAATGTTTTTGTTAAATATGACACTTAAATGTTGTTTAGGTGGAGTAGAGTTGTTATCTATTACCCAATAAACATATTTTCTTGGAATGCAGTAGCATACTGGACTAAAATTCTTACAGGTCAGATCTATATCTACTGCTGTCCTGTTAGTTCCAGGTTAGACCTATATCTACTGCTGTCCTGTTAGTTCCAGGTCAGACCTATATCTACTGCTGTCCTGTTAGTTCCAGGTCAGACCTATATCTACTGCTGTCCTGATAGTTCCAGGTTAGACCTATATCTACTGCTGTCCTGTTAGTTCCAGGTTGGACCTATATCTACTGCTGTCCTGATAGTTCCAGGTTAGACCTATATCTACTGCTGTCCTGTTAGTTCCAGGTTAGACCTATATCTACTGCTGTCCTGTTAGTTCCAGGTTGGACCTATATCTACTGCTGTCCTGATAGTTCCAGGTTAGACCTATATCTACTGCTGTCCTGTTAGTTCCAGGTTAGACCTATATCTACTGCTGTCCTGTTAGTTCCAGGTTGGACCTATATCTACTGCTGTCCTGATAGTTCCAGGTTAGACCTATATCTACTGCTGTCCTGATAGTTCCAGGTTAGACCTATATCTACTGCTGTCCTGATAGTTCCAGGTTAGACCTATATCTACTGCTGTGCTGTTAGTTCCAGGTTAGACCTATATCTACTGCTGTCCTGTTAGTTCCAGGTTATACCTATATCTACTGCTGTCCTGTTAGTTCCAGGTTAGACCTATATCTACTGCTGTCCTGTTAGTTCCAGGTTAGACCTATATCTACTGCTGTCCTGTTAGTTCCAGGTTAGACCTATATCTACTGCTGTCCTGATAGTTCCAGGTTAGACCTATATCTACTGCTGTCCTGTTAGTTCCAGGTTAGACCTATATCTACTGCTGTCCTGTTAGTTCCAGGTTAGATCTATATCTACTGCTGTCCTGTTAGTTCCAGGTTAGACCTATATCTACTGCTGTCCTGTTAGTTCCAGGTTAGACCTATATCTACTGCTGTGCTGTCCTGATAGTTCCAGGTTAGACCTATATCTACTGCTGTCCTGTTAGTTCCAGGTTAGACCTATATCTACTGCTGTCCTGTTAGTTCCAGGTTAGACCTATATCTACTGCTGTCCTGTTAGTTCCAGGTTAGACCTATATCTACTGCTGTGCTGTCCTGATAGTTCCAGGTTAGATCTATATCTACTGCTGTCCTGTTAGTTCCAGGTTAGATCTATATCTACCTATGTGCTGTCCTGTTAGTTCCAGTTTTAAATATACCTACGGCTGAATTGTTCAGTTTTCTGATTTTAAGCCTAGTTTCTGGGAGGGCACTTGCAGCTGTTTATAACAAACTGAGAGAGAGAAGTCATTAAGGATTTATTACACCATATTGCTCTGGGCTTTAAAAGCTCTATTAATATATTCCTCTGAATGAACAGAACGGGTATAAAATCTTTATTTTACTCCCGCCAGTCTCAGATAGAAAATAGCTTTATTTAACTTTGATCAATGGGTTTGTCCTCTATCTGTAACAGACGGTTATGTAAAATTATGTTACGGTTATGTAAAATTATGTTACGGTTATGTAAAATTATGTTACGGTTATGTAAAATTAAAGTTATGCAAAAGTGGTGAAGATGAGTCTGTTCAGATCTGACATAAACGTTCCGTCTGTTGGCATTAATTTAAGCTCATTAGTAAGCGTATTATGAACTCAATTAATTTATTGTCCACACTGAACGTGACTCAAGTATTAAAATGATTCTCTCTCTCTCCTCTGACATCTATTTGTTGAAGAGACAGAGAGAGAGCAGGGCGTGTACTGCATGCCAGTTCTGTAAATCATGCATCTCAACTGCAGTGAGTGGGTGTGTTGGAAGGTTGGATCATTATCGGCTAAAGCAGAGGGACTGAGATGACACCGGTAGTATATAATGTTTGGACAATGTAGTCCTCCTGCTGGTATATTTCTGATGTGTCAAATTGTATGGAACGTAATCTGCAGGCTATGATGACTAAATGAAATTTTGAGAGGGGTTTGAACACCAGAGCATTAAGGCCTTTAGTAACTTTACACTGGATCTGTTCCCTTCTCCAAGAACAGACCAGCAGCCTGGCCCTTGAAGAACAGAAATGGATAGAAATGGTGTTCACATTTCTGTTGTAAACCCCCACCGTGACTGGGACAGAGAGGGTTCAGGGGCCATCGTTGCACCATGAGATAAGTCTGTCCAGAGTGGTCAAGCAGAGACCCAGATGGGGTGATGAAAGGTGAAAGGGTGCCCTGGTGCCTATTGGTCTAATTTGGAGACCCAGATGTTGCCGTCTCATCGGGGAGAAGAGGGGGCGATGCCTACTTTAGAAACCTTGCAACACCATGGGCTTCATTTCCGTTGGGATCACATTCTATGCATGCACTCACTGTAAAATCCTGAGCGAAGTGTAGCATAGAGTAACCATGAGTCCATTACACTGGATTTTGCCCTGCAGCCCTTTAGCAATGAAGGGCCACAATGGAAACAAGTCTCTTGACTGTATGCGTCCTCTGCATTTTGGTATATGTATCTGTTGCCAGGTGTAACATTTTATGTATTTTGAATAAAATACAATAATTCCATTTAAAAGACACTGAAGTACCGTAAAAGTACTGCATGTGTGTACTTAATGCAGGTCAAATCCTCATCTTTAGTGTTAATGTGAAAATGAAAAGTGTATATGCTATAATTTCCGCCTCAAGGGTCAGAGTAATCCTTCATTTAGACACAGGTCTTCACAGAGTAAGCCTAGTTGCACTGGGATCAGTTCTCACTCACTGCTAACGCTGGGGTCTTAACGCTGGGGTCTTAACGCTGGGGTCTTAACGCTGAGTAACTGACTGTTTTCTATTTGACAGACAGATATGGGCTGGACTAGAGCATGAGGATACAGTGAAAACCAGGTCATGTTCAGTCGGGGGCACTGGAGCGTTTTTTATGGAAAGCAAAAATGAGCACTTCTTATTGGACAAGTCCCGCCCTCTTTCTGTCCGTTTTTCTTCCATTTAGTTCCTAATGAACCTTGACTTTGATATCTGATTCTTTCCCCACACATCGACAGAGGGCCTCTGTTTCCTACATGGCCTGATTGACAGGACAGGACAGTGGTCTTCATCTCACGGGGGCGAAATTGTGGTGTAGATATTAGGGGGGACGAACAGTAGACGGGGGATTTTAAAACATTTCAAAATGCATTTCCTGCAATTCTTTACAGTTTGACATGACATAATGCCTCTCTTGAGGGGTATTTTGAAAACACAATATAAGTGGAAGGTCCCCCAAGGTTAAACCTTTTTATGGGGGGGGGAAACAGCTAACTTCCTGCATTTCAACACGTTTTGCCATGGGGCAGAGTGAAAATGTGTAGTTTTATAATGCTATTCTACACATTTTGCCATGAAACTGAGAGAAAATTATGCAGTTTTAAAGTAACTGCCCAGTGAAAATCTCACTTTTAAAAGTTAATATTCTATTAATTCGTACCCAAATAATTTTGTTGACTCATTCTATACTTGTATTTGTGGCTAAAGCATAAATTGGAGAAAAAACACTTAAAAAAAAAAAATACCACAAACTTGTATCTCAAACAGACCGTTTAAAAAATGCTTCCTATTTCCTCATAGAGGATGATGTTTTCCTCCTGAGGAGGATGAGCTGGCCAATCAGCAGTCTATTGCATTAATATTTTTAATGACTGGTATACGCCCACACCATTCTGTTGTTGGGGTACGCCCACACCATTCTGTTGTTGGGGTACGCACACACCATTCTGTTGTTAGGGTATGCACACACCATTCTGTTGTTAGGGTATGCACACACCATTCTGTTGTTAGGGTACGCCCACACCATTCTGTTGTTAGGGTATGCACACACCATTCTGTTGTAAGGGTGCGCACACACCATTCTGTTGTTAGGGTACGCCCACACCATTCTGTTGTTAGGGTATGCACACACCATTCTGTTGTTAGGGTATGCACACACCATTCTGTTGTTAGGGTATGCACACACCATTCTGTTGTTAGGGTACGCCCACACCATTCTGTTGTTAGGGTATGCACACACCATTCTGTTGTTAGGGTATGCACACACCATTCTGTTGTTAGGGTACGCCCACACCATTCTGTTGTTAGGGTATGCACACACCATTCTGTTGTTAGGGTGCGCACACACCATTCTGTTGTTAGGGTACGCCCACACCATTCTGTTGTTAGGGTACGCCCACACCATTCTGTTGTTAGGGTACGCACACACCATTCTGTTGTTGGGGTACGCACACACCATTCTGTTGTTAGGGTACGCACACACCATTCTGTTGTTAGGGTACGCACACACCATTCTGTTGTTAGGGTACGCACACACCATTCTGTTGTTAGGGTACGCACACACCATTATGTTGTTAGGGTACGCACACACCATTCTGTTGTTAGGGTACGCACACACCATTATGTTGTTAGGGTACGCACACACCATTATGTTGTTAGGGTACGCACACACCATTCCAAAACAGAAAAGCTGCTTTTATAACAGTTTTCCTTCCAATTATTATTATTATTTTTAAAACGATTTCACTCATATTGTAATTAAATTATAGATCATATTTCATAGAAATCTGGAAACACTGGACAGTTACTTTAAAGGTCGACTTTGGGCAAAAATAACAGCTTTAAAATGTGTAACTGATCAATGCACCATCATACCAGGTCATTTAACGCTTTAAAATTTTTTTATGTTTTTTTATTTGAAAGAAATCTTTGGGGGGTCGAATCGACGTTTTCTGAATATTGTCCCACCCATCCCCCGCGGCAATTTCGCCTATGCTTCGCCGTGAACTCTAACATTAGGCATGTGACCCCTCTCACCATGCTGACCCCTTCTCAGTTTAATAAGGGGGGGCTATGAGGTAACTGTCTGTCTGCCCTTGTGTACAGTATATATCTATGGACAGACCACTCTGCTATGAGGTAACTGTCTGTCTGCCCTTGTGTACAGTATATATCTATGGACAGACCACTCTGCTATGAGGTAACTGTCTGTCTGCCCTTGTGTACAGTATATATCTATGGACAGACCACTCTGCTATGAGGTAACTGGCTGTCTGCCCTTGTGTACAGTATATATCTATGGACAGACCACTCTGCTATGAGGTAACTGTCTGTCTGCCCTTGTGTACAGTATATATCTATGGACAGACCACTCTGCTATGAGGTAACTGTCTGTCTGCCCTTGTGTACAGTATATATCTATGGACAGACCACTCTGCTATGAGGTAACTGTCTGTCTGCCCTTGTTAGAATAAACAATTCTCTGTGTGCCTTGAAGCCTGTTTGCTCTCTCTCTCATACTATTAATAAAACATACCACTCCTCGTACTGTCTGTGATGTCGCTATGGCTACCACTGACCTTCAGTGGGGACAGTCTATAAAAGATCCTAGTGGAAAGTAAGGAAAGAATCCAGAACACAGAAATAGAATCACTAAAACGATTCCATTGGTTCCATATTCCATGTCAATGGCCTACATGTAATCTAATGCTATAATAGCCAGTTTTAGCAACAATAAACTAAGTTTAAAGGTGCTAAATGTGATCAGAAATAGATGATTGTGAGAAGGACCTGGACCTGGTGCCACCCTGGGAGACCCCTCTCTCGCTGTCTGTCTGTGACATCATCAATCACAGACTGCATAGCTGCAGGGTCAGGGCCCCCTCTGCTGTTTCAGAGCACTGAACTGAGCATACTGACTCAAATAACACTACACTTCTGTCCTGTTATTTATGGTAACTTCTCCATGGCTGACAGTGGGGAAAGTCAAGAAACAGTCTGGGAAAAGTACAAGTAAACACAGAATAGAATATATATATTTTGTTGTATTTGGACCAAAATTATGTGGACACCTGCTCGTTGAACATCTCATTCAAAAATTATGGGCATTAATATGGAGTTGGTCCCCCCCTTTGCTGCTATAACAGCCTCCACTCTTCTGGGAAGGCTTTCCACTAGATGTTGGAACATTGCTGCGGGGACTTGCTTCCATTCAGCCATAAGAGCATTAGTGAGGTCGGGCACTGATGTTGGGCGATTAGGCCTGGCTCGCAGTCAGAGTTCCAATTCATCCCAAAGGTGTTCGATGGGGTTGAGGTCAGGAATCTGTGCAGGCCAGTCAAGTTCTTCCACACCGATCTCGACCAACCTTTTCTGTATGGACCTCGCGTTATGCACGGGGGCATTGTCATGCTGAAACAGGAAAGGGCCTTCCCCAAACTGTTGCCACAAAGTTGGAAGCACAGAATCGTCTAGAATGTCATTGTATGCTTTAGCGTTAAGATTTCCCTTCACTGGAACTAAGGGGCCTAGCCCGAACCATGAAAAACAGCCCCAGACCATTATTCCTCCTCCACCAAACTTTACAGTTGGCACTATGCATTGGGGCAGGTAGCGTTCTCCTGACATCCGCCAAACCCAGATTTGTCCGTTGGACTGCTAGATGGTGAAGCGTGATTCATCACTCCAGAGAACGTGTTTCCACTGCTCCAGAGTTCAATGGCGGCGAGCTTTACATCACTCCAGCCGACACTTGACATTGCGCATGGTGATCTTAGGCTTGTGTGCGGCTGCTCGGCCAAGGAAACCCATTTCGTGAAGCTCCTGACGAACAGTTCTTGTGCTGACATTGCTTCCAGAGACAGTTTGGAACTCGGTAGTGTGTGTTGCTACTGAAGGCAGACGATTTTTACGCGCTATGCACTTCATTGCTCAGCGGCCCCGTTCTGTGAGCTTGTGTGGCCTACCACTTCGCAGCTGAGCCGTTGTTGCTCCTAGACGTTTCCACTTCTCAATAACAGCACTTACAGTTGACCGGGGCAGCTCTAGCAGGGCAGAAATTTGACGAATTTACTTGTTGGAAAGCTGGCATCCTATGACGGTGCCACGTTGAAAGTCACTGAGCTCTTCAGTAGAGGCCGTTCTATTGCCAATGTTTGTCTATGGAGATTGCATGGCTGTGTGACTCAATTTTATACACCTGTCAGCAACGGGTGTGGCTGAAATAGCCGAATCCACCAATTCGAAGGGGTGTCCACATACTTTTGGTATATACAGTGTATGTTTATGTTACTGTGACTGATTGTGAACTGTAGCCAGACCAATGTACCTGTCAATCGATTCAAATAACGGTATGAGTGGGTGTCTCGTGGGCACAGCACATACTACACACTTACCAATCAGTCACTTTGTGTTGGTGTTGAGGCACAGATGTCACAAGTCGAATGGTTTGATAAAGAGCTAAGGATTACCATGGCGATGGACTCCATTCTATTGGGACACATTCAGTACTCTCAATACTAGTTACGACCACCCACAAGGAATATGTCCCATCAGTTCCTTTTTACAACTACATGGAAAACAGGACTAATGGAATCAGGATATTTTTTTGGGGTTGATCAATTGTTTTTACTATATGATCAAGTACACTAATAAAAACAATTGATACAAATAAAAATAAGATAATTAGAATCAGAGTAGTGGAGACTTCCTGCTCTTCTCTGGATACATTCCTTAATTCCTGCACCAGCCAGATGTGGTATTTATTGGGAATAGCAGTGGATTGATACTAACACCATGCCACGTATATATTGGCAACAGTGTTGCCATGTTCGCGGTTTTCAAGCAAAATCGGGCTGCTTTGAAAACAATGTCGCGGGTGAAAATGTATTGGTCTCGGGTTGCGGATTTTTGGGGCTATTTCTAAGTTGCAACGCGGCCGCCATGGTATTTCTCTTTAAAAATATATATTTCACTGTGACCTGCTGCTGACTGTCAGGCAGTGAGACAGGCTAGTGCTGTGTGTGTGAGTGAGTGAGTGGTTAGGCCCAACAGTGAAGAGGCGACTCCGGGATACTGACCTAGGCAGAGCTGCAAAGAAAAAGCCAAATCTCAGACTGGCCAATAAAAATAAAAGATTAAAGATGGGCAAAAGAACACAGACACTGGACTTTTTCTTTGCAACTCTGCCTAGAAGGTCAGCATCCTGGAGTCGCCTCTTCACTGTTGACGTTGAGACTGGTGTTTTGCGGGTACTTTTTAAATGAAGCTGCCAGTTGAGGACCTGTGAGGCGTCTGTTTCTCAAACTAGACACCCTAATGTATTTGTCCTCTTGCTCAGTTGTGCACCGGGGCCTCCCACTCCTCTTTCTATTCTGGTTAGAGCCAGTTTGCGCTGTTCTGTGAAGGGAGTAGTACACAGCGTTGTACGAGATCTTCAGTTTCTTGGCAAGTTCTCGCATGGAATAGCCTTCATTACTCAGAACAAGAAAAGACTGACGAGTTTCAGAAGAAAGTTATTTGTTTCTGGCCATTTTGAGCCTGTAATCGAACCCACAATTGCTGATGCTCAAGATACTCAACTAGTCTCAAGAAGGCCAGTTGTATTGCTTCTTTAATCAGCACAACAGTTTTCAGCTGCGCTAACATAATTGCAAAAGGGTTTTGTAATGATCGATTAGCCTTTTAAAATGATAAACTTGGATTAGAAAACACAACGTGCCATTGGAACACGGGACTGATGGTTGCTGTTAATGGGCCTCTGTACACCTATGTAGATATTCCATAACAAATCAGCCGTTTCCAGCTACAATAGCCATTTACAACATTAACAATGTCTACACTGTATTTCTGATCAATTTGATGTTATTTTAATGGACAAAAAAATTGCTTTTCTTTCAAAAACAAGGACATTTCTAAGTGACCCCAAACTTTTGAACGGTAGTGTACACATTATTAATATTTAATTCAGTGATTGAAATTATGACACCGTCCTCAGTAGCCTATTCCAGTAGGCTATTGGGAAACACAAGCACTAATTATTGCGAAATCGCCTCGCTATTCATATTGACTAAATTAGTCTGTTAATTTGAACTTAAGCAAGCTGCTAAATTGTTCAGTTGACATCTTTCCTACGTCTTGTCTAGGCTTCTGTAGACTATCTGAAATGGTCCAAACACGGTCCAAACACGGTCCAAACACACCAAGACAGTCGTGAAGAGGGCACGACAAAGCCTATTCCCCCTCAGGAGACTGAAAAGATTTGGCATGGGTCCTCAGATCCTCAAAAAATTATACAGCTGCACCATCGAGAGCATCCTGACTGGTTGCATCACCGCCTGGTATGGCAACTGCTTGGCCTCCGACCGTAAGGCGCTACAGAGGGTAGTGCGTACAGCCCAGTACATCACTGGGGCCAAGCTTCCTGCCATCCAGGACCTCTATACCAGGCGGTGTCAGAGGATTCAGAGGCTTCTTAACAGCTTCTACCCCCAAGCCATAAGACTCCTGAACAGCTAATCATGGCTACCCGGAATATTTGCACTGCCCCCCACCTCCACCCCCCACCCCATCTTTTTACGCTGCTGCTACTCTGTTAATTATTTATGCATAGTCACTTTACCTCTACCCACATGTACATATTACTTCAACTACCTCAACTAGCCGGTGCCCCCGCACATTGACTCTGCACCGGTACCCCCCTGTATATATAGCCTCCCTACTGTTATTTTATTTGACTTCTGCTCTTTTTTTTCTCAACACTTTTTTGTTGTTGTTTTATTTTACTTTTTTTATTAAAAATAAATGCACTGTTGGTTAAGGGCTGTAAGTAAGCATTTCACTGTAATGTCTGCACCTGTTGTATTCGGCGCATGTGGCCAATAAAATTTGATTTGATTTGATTTGAAATTAGATGTAGGCCTATCAGGAGCTGTAGGCTACCTGCCTTTTTCCAAGCAAACTATAATTAGAATCATAAACCCAGATTTTAGTCTGTAGTCTATGCCTATTGAAATGACAAGTCAATCTCACAAATGGGCCATTTTATAATGGTTTGCAGGCTTAACATCTGGCACATAGTAACAGCACAATTGCCAGAAAATAGCCTAACATTAGTTTTTTTATGTTCATCCAAGTGTTTCTTGCTCAGAGATTTCGAGATCCTCTGTCCAATTATCATCACTCAAACTCTCCTGTCGGATTTATCTATAGTTATGCTCATGCACAAACAGGATTTATTTATCATGATAAACCTGGTTCGAGCCTGAATGCTTATTGGCTGAAAGCCATGGTATATCAGACCATATACCACGGGTATGAGAAAACATTACTTTTCACTGTTCTAATTACGTTTGTAACCAGTTTATAATAGCAATAAGGCACCCTGGGGGTTTGTGGTATATGGCCAATATACCATGGCTAAGGGCTGTATCCTCGGGGGTTTGTGGTATATGACCAATATACCACGGCTAAGGGCTGTATCCAGGCGCTCCGCGTTGCGTCGTGCTTAAGAACAGCCCTTAGCCGTGGTATATTGGCCATATACCACACCCCCTTGTGCCTTATTGCTTAATCATAGCAGTCAACCGAGTTAAATCGACATCCATTGGTGGAAAATGATCTGTCGAGTTTATTAAGGGCAAATTATCTGTTCTCTTGCCGCATATTCAAATTCCTTTATTACGTCATGTCATGCAATAATTATTATTTTGAGGACGCCCGAATTTAGCTTCTAATGTCGTTACAAGTTACTATGATATTCTTTCTTAATTGGCTCGATAACGTCATGGAAAAAGCCTTCATTGTATAGATATGGCAACTCCCCTCTTGCTGTGAAAAAAACTAATTGGGCTAGTTTCAGGCCTTTTGGGTGGGTTTTGAGTAGTCATTGGGCTATAAATTTTAGCTTGACCTGGCAACCCTGGTTGGCAAGTGTAATTCAATAGGAATTCCTTTCAATTTGCATTCAGTATTGCCAGGTGCTGGCTTTCTAATGCATGATATTTCTTTATGTAACTCAACATTGCCATCCTCTGGCCATCACTGTGCAAAGGACACACTTCATGAGCCCTGCAAAGTAGAAAGCACAAAGCAGATTAACCCTAGCAAAGCATTCAAATTCTACCAAGATTCTCCACTCCCGTCCCAAATCCCGTCCCAAACAGCTCCAATCAACTCTTAAATCTGCTTATATTAAATTTTTCTGTATACTGTAATTCAGCTTTTAGCTGCAAATGTGTACAAGCGTAAATAAACCTTACTATAAATGTGTTAATAACATGGTAATAGCATTGTTACAAACCATCTTTATGGAAAAATGATTCATTCTTTTATCGGTATTTGATGTATTTTTCTCTTTGCATAGACATGCGCACAGCGCCTTCACAAAGTATTCACACCCCTTGACTTTTTTCAAATGTTGTTGTGTTAGCCTGAATTTAAAATTGATTACATTTAGATTTTGTGTCGCTGATCCACACGCAATACCACATAATGTCAAAGTGGAATTTTGTTTTTAGAATCTTTTACAAATTAATTAGTGATCGTTATGGCAAGCCTAAATAAGTTCAGGAGTAAAAATGTGCTTAACAAGTCACATAATAAGTTGCATGGACTCACTCCGTGTGCAATAATAGTGTTTAACATAATTGATGAATGACTATCCCATCTCTGTATCCCACACATACAATTGATCTGTAAGGTCCCTCAGTCAAGTAGTGAATTTCAAGCACAGATTCAACCACAAAGACGAGGGAGGTTTTCCAATGCCTCGCAAAAAAGGGCACCAATTGGTAAATGTAAAAAAAAAAAAAAGAAAAAAAAAAAACAGACACTGAATAGCCCAGTGAGCATGGTGAAGTTATTAATTACACTTCAGATGGTGTATCAATACACCCAGCCGATACTGGTGTCCTTCCTAACTCAGTTGCCGCTGTAATCGTTGACAAAGGTGTTTCTAAAATTGTATTCACTCAGGGGGTTGAATACTTATCTAATCAACATATATTAGTGTTTTATTTTTCATAATATTTTACTACACTTTGACATTACAGAGTATTTTGTGAAGATTTGGGGTAGATTGTTTTGACAAAAAAGGACAATTAAATCCATTTTAATCCCACTTTGTAACACAACAAAATGTGGAAGAAGTCAAGGGGTGTGAATACTTTCTGAAAACTCTGTGTGTGTGTTTATATACATCAATGAGATCATCAAGACACGTCTTGACAGAATGCGGTTGTATAGCGGAACACAGGATATGTTAAAAACTACAATCTAACAATTTCGTCACAGAGATGCATATTATAAACCTTCCATCTGTCTGTTATTTAAACAGTGCGTCTGTATGGTCCATTCTTATTTAAGATGTGTATTTTCTTCTCAAGACCAGTCTTTTAACACACACACACACATTAGCTCTGAACATGAAAACATGACTTTTTGCGCCTTGCTAATTCAGCCCAGCTGCAGTTAAGGCCACTGGCGGACTTACCATTAGGCAGAAGAGGCAATTGCCTCAGGACTCATATCACCAAGGGGCCTCATGAGTTGGGCATAATATACAGTACCAGTCAAAAGTTTGGACACACCTACTCATTCAAGGGTTTTTCTTTATTTGTACTATTTTCTACATTGTAGAATAAAAGTGAGGACATCAAAACGATGAAATAACACATATGGAATCATGTAGTAACCAAAAAAGTGTTAAACAAATCAAAATATATTTATATTTATGTTTGATATTATTCGAAGTAGCTACCGTTTACCTTGATGACAGCTCTTGGCATTCTCTCAACCAGCTTCATGAGGTAGTCACCTGGAATCAATTTCAATTAACAGGTGTGTCTTGTAAAAAGTTAATTTGTGGAAATTATTTCCTTCTTAATGTGTTTGAGCCAATCAGTTGTGTTGTGACAAGGTAGGGGTGGTATACAGAAGATCGTTTTTGCGACTGCACTTAAAGAAACTTTAAAAGTTATTGAAATGTTCTGTATGGACTGACCTTAATTTCTTAAAGTAATGATGGACTGTCGTTTCTCTTTGCTTATTTGAGCTGTTCTTGCCATAATATGGACTTGGTCTTCAAGCGGACTTGGCTATCAAGCGCTATGATGAACTGGCTCTCATGAGGACCGCCACAGGAAAGGAAGACCCAGAGTTACCTCTGCTGCAGAGGATGTTCATTAGAGTTACCAGCCCCAGATTGCAGTTCAAATAAATGCTTCACAGAGTTCAAGTAACAGACACATCTCAACATCAACTGTTCAGAGGAGACTGCGTGAATCAGGCCTTCATGGTCGAATTGCTGCAAAGAAACCACTGCTAAAGGACATCAATAAAAAGAAGAGACATGCTTGGACGCTTGAAACACGAGCAATGGACATTAGACTGGTGGAAATCTGTCCTTTGGTCTGATGAGTCCAAATTTGAGATTTTTGGTTCCAACCGCCGTGTCTTTGTGAGACGCAGAGTAGGTGAACGGATGATCTCTGCATGTGTGGTTCCCACCGTGAAGCATGGAGGAGGAGGTGTGATGGTGTGGGGGTGCTTTGCTGGTGACACTGTCTGAGATTTATTTACAATTCAAGGCACACTTAAACAGCATGGCTACCACAGCATTCTGCAGCGATATGCCATCCCATCTGGTTTGCGCTTAGTGGGACTATCATTTGTTTTTCAACAGGACAATGACCCAAAACACACCTCCAGGCTGTGTAAGGGCTATTTGACCAAGAAGGAGAGTGATGAAGTGCTGCATCAGATGACCTGGCTTCCACAATCCCCCAACCTTAACCCAATTGAGATGGTTTGGGATGAGTTGGACGGCAGAGTGAAGGAAAAGCAGCCAACAAGTGCTCAGCATATGTGGGAACTCCTTCAAGACTTTTGGAAAAGCATTCCAGGTGACTACCTCATGAAGCTGGTTGAGAGAATGCCAAGCGTGTGCAAAGCTGTCATCAAAGCAAAGGGTGGCTATTTGAAGAATCTCAAATTTAAAATATATTTTGATTTTGTTCAACACTTTTTTGGTTACTACATGATTCCATATGTGTTATTTCATAGTTTTGATGTGTTCACTATTATTCTACAATGTAGAAAATAGTAAAAATAAAGAAAAACCAAGGCAGCAGCTACTCTTCCTGGGGTCCAAACATATTAAAGCACTTACATTACATATAAAACAAAATATAAAACAGTACATCATATGACATTATTACACCACTACCTATCTACAATACAAAATGTTTAATACCACCATACAACAATATCACAATGTGTGCGTATGCATGTGTCTATACCCTTGTGTGAGTCTCTTCACAGTCCCCGTTGTTCCATAAGGTGTATTTTTACCTGTTTTTTAAATCTGATTATACTGCTTGCATCAGTTACCTGATGTGGAATAGAGTTCCATGTAGTCATGGCTCTATGTAGTACTGTGCGCCTCCCATAGTCGGTTCTGGACTTGGGGACTGTGAAGAGACCTCTGGTGGCATGTCTTGTGGGGTATGCATGGGTGCCCGAGCTGTGTGCCAGTATTCCAAACAGACAGCCCGGTACATTCAGCTTGTCAACACCTCTTACAAAAACAAGCAGTGATGAAGTCAATCTCTCTTCCACTCTGAGCCAGGAGAGACTGACATGCATGTTATTAATGTTAGCTCTCCGTGTACTTTTAAGGGCCAGCCGTGCTGCCCTGTTCTGAGCCAACTGCAATTTTCCCAAGTCCCTCTTTGTGGCACCTGACCACACTATTGAACAGTAGTCTAGGTGTGACAAAACTAGGGCCTGTAGGACCTGCCTTGTTGATAGTGCTGTTAAGAAGGTAGAGCAGCGCTTAATTATGGACATACTTCTCCCCATCTTAGCTACTGTTGTATCAATATGCTTTGACCATGACAGTCTACAATCCAGGGTTACTCCAAGCAGTTCAGTCACTTCAACTTGCTCAATTTCCACATTATTCATTACGAGATGTAGTTGAGGTTTAGGGTTTAGTGAATGATTTGACCCAAATACAATGCTTTTAGTTTTGGAAATATTCAGGACTAACTTATTCCTTGCCACCCATTCTGAAACTAACCTCAACTCTTTGTTAAGTGTTGCAGTTATTTCAGTTGCTGTAGTAGCTGACGTGTATAGTGTTGAGTCATCCACATACATAGACACACTGGCTTTACTCAAAGCCAGTGGCATGTCGTTAGTAAAGATTGGAAAAAGCAAGGGGCCTAGACAGCTGCCCTGGGGAATTATATTTGAGAGGCTTCCATTAAAGAACACCCTCTGTGTTCTGTTAGACAGGTAACTCTGTATTCACAGTATAGCAGGTGGTGTAAAGCCATAACACATACGTTTTTCCAGCAGCAGACTATGATCGAAAATGTCAAAAGCCGCATTGAAGTCTAACAAAACAGCCCCCACAATCTTTTTATCATCAATTTCTCTCAGCCAATCATCAGTCATTTGTGTAAGTGCTGTGCTTGGTTAAGGAAAACTGTGATAAATAAAAAAGTGTATCAGTTTCACTTAAGGACCAAAGGATTGACAGCCGTCCCATATAGATTGCAAAATAGTTGGGAAGAGATCTTTGACGTACCGATCCCATGGCATAGTGTTTATGAACTGACACGCAAAACGACACCGGATTCAAAAATTAGAATCTTTCAATTTAAATTATTATATAAAATTCTTGCTACTAATAGAATGTTATTTATATGGGGGATACAATCTTCCCAGCTCTGCAGATTTTGCTGTGAAGAGATAGAATCATTAGATCATTTGTTTTGGTTCTGTCCATTTGTAGCTTGTTTTTGGACACAGGTCCAGGAATGGCTAAAGGATTGCAATATTTACCTGGAACTAACCTTGCAGATAGCATTACTGGGTGATCTGAAAAGTCATAGTCAATCAATCAATAATATAATAATACTTTTAGCAAAAATGTTTATTTTTAATTCACAATCTGTAGAAGCAATGAGAATAGAAAGGTTCAGAACTTTTGTAAAACATCACAGTACGGTTGAAATATATACAGTGGGGAAAAAAAGTATTTAGTCAGTCACCAATTGTGCAAGTTCTCCCACTTAAAAAGAAGAGAGAGGCCTGTAATTTTCATCATAGGTACACGCCAACTATGACAGACAAAATGAGGAAAAAAAATCCAGAAAATCACATTGTAGGATTTTTTATGAATTTATTTGCAAATTATGGTGGAAAATAAGTATTTGGTCAATAACAAAAGTTTCTCAATACTTTGTTATATACCCTTTGTTGGCAATGACACAGGTCAAACGTTTTCTGTAAGTCTTCACAAGGTTTTCACACACTGTTGCTGGTATTTTGGCCCATTCCTCCATGCAGATCTCCTCTAGAGCAGTGATGTTTTGGGGCTGTCGCTGGGCAACACGGACTTTCAACTCCCTCCAAAGATTTTCTATGGGGTTGAGATCTGGAGACTGGCTAGGCCACTCCAGGACCTTGAAATGCTTATTACGAAGCCACTCCTTCGTTGCCCGGGCGGTGATTTGGGATCATTGTCATGCTGAAAGACCCAGCCACGTTTCATCTTCAATGCCCTTGCTGATGGAAGGAGGTTTTCACTCAAAATCTCACGATACATGGCTCCATTCATTCTTTCCTTTACACGGATCAGTCGTCCTGGTCCCTTTGCAGAAAAACAGCCCCAAAGCATGATGTTTCCACCCCCATGCATCACAGTAGGTATGCTCTACAACATTCGGAGAGTGCGACCCTGCCTTACACAGGAAGCGGCGCAGGTCCTGGTCCAGGCACTTGTCATCTCCCGTCTGGACTACTGCAACTCGCTGTTGGCTGGCCTCCCTGCCTGTGCCATTAAACCCCTACAACTCATCCAGAATGCCGCAGCCCGTCTGGTGTTCAACCTTCCCAAGTTCTCTCACGTCACCCCCCTCCTCCGCACACTCCACTGGCTTCCAGTTGAAGCTCGCATCCGCTACAAGACCATGGTGCTTGCCTATGGAGCAGTGAGGGGAACGGCACCTCTGTACCTTCAGGCTCTGATCAGTCCCTACACCCAAACGAGGGCATTGCGTTCATCCACCTCTGGCCTGCTGGCTCCCCTTCCTCTGCGGAAGCATAGCTCCCGCTCAGCCCAGTCAAAACTGTTCGCTGCTCTGGCACCCCAATGGTGGAACAAGCTCCCTCACGACGCCAGGACAGCGGAGTCACTCACCACCTTCCGGAGACATTTGAAACCCCACCTCTTTAAGGAATACCTGGGATAGGATAAAGTATTCCTTCTAACCCCCCCCCCCCCCCCCAAATTGTAAAGTGGTTATCCCACTGGCTATAGGGTGAACGCACCAATTTGTGAGTCGCTCTGGCTAAGAGCGTCTGCTAAATGACGTTAATGTGCCCTTGAGCAAGGCACTTAACCCTAATTGCTCCTGTAAGTCGCTCTGGATAAGAGCGTCTGCTAAATGACTAAAATGTAAATGTGTTCTTTGGATGCAACTCAGCATTCTTTGTCCTCCAAACACGACGAGTTGAGTTTTTACCAAAAAGTTATATTTTGGTTTCATCTGACCATATGACATTCTCCCAATCCTCTTCTGGATCATCCAAATGCACTCTAGCAAACTTCAGACGGGCCTGGACATGTACTGGCTTAAGCAAGGGGACACGTCTGGCACTGCAGGATTTGAGTCCCTGGCGGCGTAGTGTGTTACTGATGGTAGGCTTTGTTACTTTGGTCCCAGCTCTCTGCAGGTCATTCACTAGGTCCCCCCGTGTGGTTCTGGGATTTTTGCTCACCGTTCTAGTGATCATTTTGACCCCATGGGGTGAGATCTTGCGTGGAGCCCCAGATCTAGGGAGATTATCAGTGGTCTTGTATGTCTTCCATTTCCTAATAATTGCTCCCACAGTTGATTTCTTCAAACCAAGCTGCTTACCTATTGCAGATTCAGTCTTCCCAGCCTGGTGCAGGTCTACAATTTTGTTTCTGGTGTCCTTTGACAGCTCTTTGGTCTTGGCCATAGTGGAGTTTGGAGTGTGACTGTTTGAGGTTGTGGACAGGTGTCATTTATACTGATAACAAGTTCAAACAGGTGCCATTAATACAGGTAATGAGTGGAGGACAGAGGAGCCTCTTAAAGAAGAAGTTACAGGTCTGTGAGAGCCAGAAATCTTGCTTGTTTGTGGGTGACCAAATACTTATTTTCCACCATAATTTGCAAATAAATTCATTAAAAATCCTACAATGTGATTTTCTGGATTTTCTTTTCTCAATTTGTCTGTCATAGTTGACATGTACCTATGATGAAAATTACAGGCCTCTCTCATCTTTTTAAGTGGGAGAACTTGCACAATTGGTGGCTGACTAAATACTTTTTTCCCCCACTGTATGGCAAATAGAAATCCTATATGGATGGTGTTAAGAGATAGATGGGAGGTATTGAATAGAGTTGAAGGATGGGACTAATAACAAATAACAACTAATAATAACAAAGATAGCTAATAATGTAAGCATACTGTGTCCATAATAAGTATATAGGTTGTATGTTGGGAGCTTTTGGGAAAGAGCACAGTTAGAAAGATATGGCATTTAGAAGCAAACCGGATGGACATCATGAAAATGATTGGAGAGGTTGAGAGTAGAAGAAGTTCAGGAGCAAAAAAATAAATAAATATATATATATATATATATATATATATATATAATTATTGTAAAATTAACTCTGTCCATAAGGTGTAGATAGTAAGTATAGACCGGAAGTAGAGGCCTGGGCGTTGTTGTTCACTAATTTACTCCAAGTAGGGAAAGGATGGTGGGGTTGAAAAGTAATAAAGGGGAATATATATATACATAAAAAATAAAAATAAACATGGGGGATTGGAAGTGATGCAGACAATTACATTGATAGAAGATACAATCTATCTGCAATATTAAGCTGATCCATCCCCCCGAATAAGAAGAAAAAAAAAAAAAAAAGGTGCTGTGCTTGTTGAATGTCCTCCTCTATAAGCATGCTGAAAGTCTGTTGTCAATTTGTTTAAGGTAAAATAGCATTGTATCTGGTCAAACACAATTCTTTCCAATATTTTACTAAGGGTTGGTTACAGGCTAATTGGTCTGCTATTTGAGCCAGTAAAGGGGGCTTTACTATTCTTAGGTAGCAGAATGACTTTTGCTTCCCTCCAAGCCTGGGGGCACACATGTTCTAGTGGGCTTAAATTGAAAATATGGTAAATAGGAGTGGCAATATCGTCCGCTATTATCCTCAGCAATTTTCCATCCAAGATGTCAGACCCCAGTAGCTTGTCATTGTTAATAGACAACAATAATTTTTTCACCTCTTCCAATGCTTGTCTTTCATAATTTGGTCAGATATACTTGGATGTGTAGTGTCAGCAATTGTTGCTGGCATATCATGCCTAAATGTTCTAATCTTGCCAATGAAAAAATTATTAAAGTGGTTGGCAATATCAGTTGGTTTTGTGATGAATGAGCCATCTGATTCAATGAATGATGGAGCTGAGTTTGACTTTTTTCCCAAGATTTCATTGAAGTTGCGCCAAAGCTTTTTACTATCATTCTTTATGTAATTTATCCTTGTTTCATAGTGTTGCTTCTTATTCTTTTTATTCAGTTTAGTCACGATTTCTCAATTTGCGGTACGTTTGCCAATCGGTTGTGCAGCCAGACTTATTTGCCATTCCTTTTGCCTCATCCCTCTCAACCATACAATTGTTCAATTCCTCATCAATCCACGGGGATTTAACAGTTGTTACAGTCATTTTCTTAATGGGTGCATGCTTATTAGTAACTGGAATAAGCAATTTCATAAATGTGTCAAGTGCAGTGTCTGTTTGCTCCTCATTACACACCACGGACCAACATATATTCTTTACATCAACAACATAGGAATTACTGATCCTGCTGCTGATGCTGGGCCTCAAGTGTTTCCAGGTATGAGGCCTCTGTTTCCAGGTATGAGGCCTCGGTCTCGTGGTATGAGGCCTCGGTCTCCAGGTATGCCTCGGTCTCGTGGTATGAGGCCTCGGTCTCCAGGTATGCCTCTGTCTCCAGGTATGAGGCCTCTGTCTCCAGGTATGAGGCCTCGGTCTCCAGGTATGAGGCCTCGGTCTCCAGGTATGAGGCCTCGGTCTCCAGGTATGAGGCCTCTGTCTCCAGGTATGAGGCCTCTGTCTCCAGGTATGAGGCCTCGGTCTCCAGGTATGAGGCCTCGGTCCCATGAAGTTCAGGTATTCGCTGGTTATGCCCATTTTCTCTTCCCTGGGAAAACATAGAAGTAATGACATGTACAGTTCAGGAATGATAAGGTTCAGATTCCATATCAAACCTGAGGGCAGCCAGTGGGAGTGCAGTTTTGTTCTCCAACCATGTATTGTCTCATCAAATGTATTAAATCTTATCCAGCAAAGCCCAGTGTGGGTCCAACCAGATCTACCAACCAGATCTACCAATCAGATCTACCAGTGATGCAAATAATAAAGGTCTTGGGTCAGAATATGATTGATTAATATAATGATTGATGTATTTATACATTCCTAGATCCACACGGTCTCCTTGAATAATGTTTAGGAACCAGTGGAGGCTGCTGAGGGGAGGACGGCTCATAATAATGGCTGGAACGGAGCGAATGGAATGGCATCAAACACATGGAAACCATGGAAACCATGGAAACCATATGTTCGATGTATTTGATACCATTCCACTGATTCCGCTCCAGCCATTACCATGAGCCCGTCCTCCCCAATTAAGGAGCACCAACCTCCTGTGGCAGGAACATAACCCTGCCATGACAAAAGCCCTCTGTGGATGAGATTGCCCTGTTGAAGACAGCTAAATTGTGTGATCAGGGCTAAACAAGTGACCATGACAATCAATTTATATTGAACTGTTTACCAACTGAGAATGCCCACACAGCACAGAGAAAGGATTAGACTGTGTGAGTGTGACCGGAAGATGAACATACTCATGTTAGGTAAGATGCAGAACTTGTCAGGATGTTAGCATGTAATAGAACAGACTCAACTACAACTTAACAAAGTTGGCTTGCGTTAGCTGGCTAGCTAGTATTGGCTGGCTACTGCTGTCTAGCTAGCAAGCTTGCTACTGACTAGCTAGCTAGCAGGCTGGCTAGCTAGCCCTACTTGGCTACTGGATATATTCATGCTAGCTAGAAGTCCCTCAACCTGCTCCAAGACGAAGCTGCCTGGCCAGAGCTACCTGCTGCAGAAAGGTCAACCTGCTACAAGACCTAGCTGCCTGGCCAGAGCTACCTGCTGCAGAAAGGTCAACCTGCTACAAGACCTAGCTGCCTGGCCAGAGCTACCTGCTGCAGAAAGGTCAACCTGCTCCAAGACGAAGCTGCCTGGCCAGAGCTACCTGCTGCAGAAAGGTCAGATTTCTCCATAACTTTCTCTAGTTAACTTAACTAGATCTTCTGGCTGGCTGATGGTGCTTATTGACTGAGTAATAATAAACTGCAGTTACTTTAATTGAAAACCTATCTAGCACTTTGCATAACTAATTTACCTATTGCATACACATACAACAATATCCAATTAAGCTATAGTCAGTGCTGGTGTGTGTGTCTGAACGGGAGATCCAAGTTCCGAGTCTGTGAGTTCTAAACGGGAGATCCGAGTTCCGAGTCTGTGAGTTCTGAACGGGAGATCCGAGTTCCGAGTCTGTGAGTTCTGAACGGGAGATCCGAGTTCCGAGTCTGTGAGTTCTAAACGGGAGATCCGAGTTCCGAGTCTGTGAGTTCTAAACGGGAGATCCGAGTTCCGAGTCTGTGAGTTCTGAACGGGAGATCCGAGTTCCGAGTCTGTGTGTTCTGAACGGGAGATCCGAGTTCCGAGTCTGTGAGTTCTGAACGGGAGATCTGAGTTCCGAGTCTGTGAGTTCTGAATGGGAGATCCGAGTTCCGAGTCTGTGAGTTCTGATCGGGAGAACTCACAGTGGTCTAAGGCACTGCATCGCAGTGCTAACTGTGCCACTAGAGATCCAGGCTCTGTCGCAGCCGGCCGCGACCGGGAGACTCATGGGCGGCGCACAATTGGCCCAGCGTTGTCCAGGGTAGGGGAGGGAATGGCCGGCAGGGATGTAGCTCAGTTGATAGAGCATGGCGTTTGCAACGCCAGGGTTGTGGGTTCGATTCCCACGGGGGGCCAGTATAAAAAAAGATGTATTCACTAACTGTAAGTCGCTCTGGATAAGAGCGTCTGCTAAATGACTAAAATGTAAATGTAAAATGAGATCCGATCCGAACTCGGATCTTATTATTATATTATTATTATTATAGATCCGATCATCATGAACTTCATGTAGTTACATCAGCCAAAACAGCAAGTTAAAATGAGCCTTTTGTTTGTTATGGGTACTTCACAAACATCCTTTCCTGCTCATTGAAAGGCAGACTAGGGCTGTTATGGAGACCGTATTACCGCCACACCGGCGGTCACGAGTCATGACGGCAGTCAAATTCCATGTGACCTTTTAGTCACGGTAATTAGGCTTCTCCAAGCTCTGATGCTGCTGATGGTCATTAGTAGCCTACCAAACTTGCTAACTGCCTGGTACTCAGCACTCTATTGTCCATCTAATCACTCTGACATCAATGCAAATGTAATCAAAAATGTTGCGCAACATTTCTATAGGCTATACAATTGCGTGAGAAAACTGTTTTGATAGCCTCTATTAAAGAGAGGAGGATCCCATCAGCTTTCTATAGGCTTACAATATTTATTTCTCAACTTTCCTAATATTATGCACATTTCTTCTCTTTACAACAGGAGTATAGCCTACCTGGCTGGCATGAAAATGAACCATGGGAAAAGCGTCCTCCATTTGCTATATGTGAGTGCATATTTTTTCCCCTTGTTTCGAGACAAGTGCATGATAATGGTCCATTCTAAATCAAAACAAATTTCACACAAACAGTACCCATTAAAGGTTTGGACAAACCTACTCATTCAAGGGTTTTTCTAAATTTTTACTATTTTCTACATTGTAGAATAATAGTAAAGACATCAAAACTATGAAATAACACATATGGAATCATGTAGTAACCAAATAGCCACCCTTTGCCTTGATGACAGCTTTACACACTCTTGGCATTCTCTCAACCAGCTTCACCTGGAATGCTTTTCCAACAGTCTTGAAGGAGTTCCCACATGTGCTGAGCACTTGTTGGCTGCTTTTCCTTCATTCTGCCTTCCGACTCATCCCAAACCATCTCAATTGGGTTGAGGTCAGGGGATTGTGGAGGCCAGAGCTTATCCAGAGCGACTTACAGTTAGTGAGTGCATACATTTTCATACTGGCCCCCCGTGGGAATCGAACCAATAACCCTGGCGTTGCAAACGCCATACTCTTCCAACTGAGCTACACGGGTCATCTGATGCAGCACTCATCACTCTCCTTCTTGGTAAAATAGCCCTTACACAGCCTGGAGGTGTGTTGGGTCATTGTCCTGTAGAAAAACAAATGATAGTCCCACTAAGCCCAAACCAGATGGGATGGCGTATCGCTGCAGAATGCTGTGGTAGCCATGCTGGTTAAGTGTGCCTTGAATTCTAAATAAATCACAGCAAAGCACCCCCACACCATAACACCTCCTCCTCCATGCTTTACGGTGGGAACTATACATGCGGAGATCATCCGTTCACCCACACCGCGTCTCACAAAGACACAGCGGTTGAAACCAAAATCTCCAATTTGGACTCCAGACCAAAGGACACATTTCCACCGGTCTAATGTCCATTGCTCGTGTTACTTGGCCCAAGCAGGTCTCTTCTTCTTATTGGTGTCCTTTAGTAGTGGTTTCTTTGCAGCAATTTGACCATGAAGGCCTGATTCACACAGTCCCCTCTGAACAGTTGATGTTGAGATGTGTCTGTTATTTGAACTCTGTGAAGCATTTATTTGGGCTGCAATTTCTGAGGCTGGTAACTAATGAACTTATCCTCTGCAGCAGAGGTAACTCTGGGTCTTCCATTCCTGTGGCGGTCCTCATGAGAGCCAGTTTCATCATAGCGCTTGATTGTTTTTGCAACTGCACTTGAAGAAACTTTAAAAGTTCTTGAAATGTTCTGTATGGACTGACCTTAATTTCTTAAAGTAATGATGGACTGTCGTTTCTCTTTGCTTATTTGAGCTGTTCTTGCCATAATACGGACTTGGTCTTTTACCAAATAGGGCTATCTTCTGTATACCCACCTACCTTGTCACAACACAACTGATTGGCTCAAACGTGTTGAGAAGGAAAGGAATTCCACAAATTAACTTTTAAGAAGGCACACCTGTTAATTGAAATGCATTCCAGGTGACTACCTCATGAAGCTGGTTGAGAGAATGCCAAGAGTGTGCAAATCTGTCATCAAGGCAAAGGGTGGCTATTTGAAGAATCTCAAATATAAATATATTTTGATTTGTTTAACACTTTTTTGGTTACTACATGATTCCATATTTGTTATTTCATAGTTTTGATGTCTTCACTATTATTCCACAATGTAAAAAAAAAAAACCTTGAATGAGTAGGTGTGTCCAAACTTTTGACTGGTAGTGTATATTATTTAGTATATGTAAAGACAAGATTAAATCAAGAATAGTGTGATGGGTGACAATATTAGCCTATCACTTGTGAATGATATATTATCACTTGTGAATGATGCCCAGTTTGTATGCTCTAAGGCAAGAAACAGCGCATGCCTTTTTTCTTCAACTTTTTCAAATCATAGTGGCACACCTCATGTAGCCTAGCCCATAGACCTATATGTTTTAATAAGGTTTGCATCACAACTAAAGTGGCCAAATAACTTCTTAAAATGAAGCACATTAATCCGCTTTACAATGGGTGTAGAGCCTAACTGGCAGACTGTACATACGCAGCGCGTGAGTTTCAAGTTTGTGGAAGAACATTTTCACCACAAAAATGCACCTTTATAATAAAAGCATTACATGCATCATCGCATTTGCCGTCACTTTTGAGGATGTTTTTTTTCCCGCTAATTGATTGCATTTTGGAACATTCGCGCATATAGTCTACTGCAGTGTGCGCGTTGCTGCGCTTATAATGTGAAGAAATAGCCTAATAGTTTATTAAGATTTTAAGCTAAACTTTCTGATCTGTTGCATCAGCTTCATTGCTTTTAAAAGTTGTATTGATGCTAGCGGTTGTATTTACATTTACGTAATTTAGCA